GTCTATGGTCTGGTGACAAGCCTGGTAGCCTTCAAAGGTGTGGGACTTTTGTTATAATGACCCTGAAAAAAACCCTCCTGAAAATTTAGGGGTCTGTTCACCGCTTCTCACAAAATCAAGTCTCTTGGGTTAGGTGTGAAGCGCACGGAAAAAAATTATACCGAAGATGGATACCCAAGTCAAGGGGCTTGTAGAACGACTTACGGAGTATATATCCTTCCTTCCTATGCCAATAAGAATTATGATCCCGATGGACCACGCAGCACAACAGTATACATGTGTGTGGAAGCAAAGTCTCCAAATGTACGACCAAGCATACCTTCTTCTTCTTCTTTTTTTTTTTTTTTTTTTTTTTTCCTTTTTCAATTTGGACCATTTCTCAGATATGCATATCTTTAGTAATCTGTAGTAAAGCAACAAAATATAATTTAAATATGTTAATTTGAATCGTTTATAAATTTGTGCATAGCAACCAACAAATTTAGGCAAAATAGAAGATCTAGTATGTACGCGATAAAATTTTCCTACTCTGGTGAGCCACACGCGAATGCTTTTTCAACAGACAAGCATCTACAAATGCACTTTCACAGGATTGCCAACCAATGGAAGACGTGAAAGCGCATTAACTCAAAGATAAGATAAGCGTCGAAGTAGGGGAGAGTATCGACCGCCACATAGCCATAGCTATGGCTCACACGCTCTCTCGCGTGGTAACCTGTCATCTATATCCCTTGTGGGGAGCCGAGGGCTGGCATATCCCCCTCCGAATTTCCGCCCTACGTTAACCGCGTGTCGTTAACTCGCGTGTCGTTAACTCAAGATAAGATAAGAGTCCAAGTGCCAGAGTATCGGCTGCCACATAGCCATAGCTATGATGGCGCACACCCTCTCTCCCGCGGTACAACCTATCCTCTAATCCCTCGTGGGGAGCAGAGCGCTCGCACATCCCCTACTAACCAGCTGCCCCCGAATGTAACACATGGTCGTCTTACCTGTGTTCGGGGCAACTTTCCCCAGGATAGAACGTATGAGTCGTATGGTCGTTTTTTCGTTAACCTGTTCCAGGGACAGCAGGAATGTCTGCAGAGTCGCGCAGACGGTCAGAACAATGGGCGGCAAAACTCAGAAAAAAAAGCACAGCATTCAACGTCTGCATATTTTGCGACAGTGAGGATTGCGTCGTTATGGATTAATTGAATTAGTTATTAAATTTTAAAAATAATAATGTTATTCTGACGTACTCATGTACATCACCTTTGTCGTGGGGCGGCCTGCAATAATGTGTCCGCTTTCCACTTTCCAAATCTTCCTTCCTGTCACTGTAGCTTGCAGATTGCGCAGAAGTCATGACGAGACTACCGAAAATGGACAAGACCAAGTTTCCTGTTCTGGTACCTAACATGACGGTAAGGACAATTCCTGGTCCTGCCTTCTTCTCCTTCTTCCTTTGCTGCTGCTCCTTCCTTTTCTCCTTCTTCTCCTTCGTCTTCTTCTCCTTCTTCTTCACCGCCGTCTTCTTCTCCTCCTCTTCGCTCTTCGTTTCTTTTTTTTTTTGCTGTGGCTTCTCCGTTTGCCTTTCCCTTCTCCTCCTCCTCTTCCTCCTTCTCTTTACTAGTCGTCGCCGTCATCGTCGTCATTGTTGTTTTTGTTGTTGTCTGGTCATGGTTTGATGTTGATGTTGACGTTGTTGTCCTTGCCTATTTCGGGTTTGGAGAATTAAATCGAGGTGGCAAACGGGCAGTTTGATGTGTGAACTAAGAACGCAGTATGAACTTATTATGAAGAGACATGAATCTGATCCGATCCGATCGTGAAACGGACCTGACGGGATCACAACACATCGAGGGGAGTCGACTCAGTCGGGGCAATTTGCAACGAGTGGGGAATAGTCAAAGAAGTCTCATAGGGAGATTGCTGAAGGACTGTGGCATACTGCGTAGCCACACGGGCCCTGTAGGACCCGTCCCGGACATTCAGCCTAAAAGCCTAAAACTTAGGAGCTACAGGCCCCGGGCGTTTCAGCCTGAAAACTGAAAAACGAGGGCCTGCAGGCCCTACTCCGTTTCAGCCTATTTCTGGGTCTTTCAGACCCAGAGTTTTTCTAGCCTGAAACGGAGGGCTATTCTTAGGGCCTGGGCTATTTTTAGGCCCTCATTTGTTTCGACCTGCCCTAGGAT